GGCCGGCGGGCGGGCGGGCGGGCGGGGAGCGGGGCCCTCTGGGCGTCAGCGAGGTCTCTACGCGAGCTGCGTAAAGCTGGTTTGTAAATGCCGCTTGCCCGGCCTGGCCCGGCACCTCCAGGAAGTCCGCTGTGGGTGCGGGCGGAGGAGAAGGGTGAGGTCGGCCTCCCGGGTCCCGGGCGGGCGGGCGGGCGAGGGGGCGGATGTGCTGGGGTGGGGTCCACGGCAGGTGAGGCTGGAGCTGTGCAGGGCCTGGAGCGAGCGTCGGAGCCCGGCCGTCGGCTGCCGCCGGGACTGGGGTCATGCTCTTTGGGGGGGGGGGGGAGAAGAAGAGAGCCCGTGTTGACAGTTGCGACTCAGTTCCAGTTTCCTGATGTGGCCTCTCTAAGGAGCTAATTCTGAACTCGCAAGGTTTGTCCCTCTTCGCTCTCAGACGTCAGAGGGCTTTACTTCTGAACTGTGCCCACAAGCGCTTTCACTTTGGGATGCTCGTGGGGGAAAGTAAAGAAGTAAATGACGTGCCCAAGGTCACACAGATCTTCAGAATCTGGTCCGCAGAAAGTCCAGGTTCTGACCAGAGCTGTGTGCTGAGAAAGAGAGTGGGGAGGTGGTTGGTAGTGCTCGAACAGGATGAAAGACGCTGCAGAGTAGTGTGTGTGTTTCTCAGAAACGCTCGGGAGGTGAAGAGTTGGTTTGTTGGCGGTGGAGTGAAAGCCTTCTCAAAGCAACCCCTCCAACGTTTGGCTAGAACAGGAAGGAGCGTTAAATATTTTCCCCTTTTTCTGAGTCATACTAAATGATAACACTTAATTTCCGCGCGCCATTTTTAAAGGGTAGATAATATTTAACAATAAGTTTAGCATTGCCTCTCAGAGAATAGTCCTTTTCTGTTTTCTACGACTAAGATTAAAGTGCGCGCGAAACTTTCACGAAACTTATTTTATACATTTTAAAGTTTTCATTAAGTGAAAGGTTCAGTGCAGAATCGTGGAGAAGTGATAACATGGTCATTACCAAGAAATGACCTTTTTTTTTGGTCTGAGATTTTTTAATGTTTCCTCATTTTCTTCACCCCATGTGTAAGTAGTAAAAACAGGAGCTTGTATGTTTTCTCCTTCTAGGCATCATCTGTGACTTAATTCGTTCCTAATTTCAAAGAATGAAAAAATGATGCCTCTATTGAGTAAAAAGCAATGCACTTGTTTTAAACAAGTGACAAATTATAGCTGATAGATATTATTAGACAGTTTTTAATAGAATTTTAGTTTTTATTGAAGTCAAGATTTCTTCCTAAGATTATATCCATAAACATGCACATTTATAGTTAGTAGGCATACTATGTAAATTAGAATATTGAATACACATTATATACTGTAAATAAATAGGCCATATTTTGAATGTGCGTTGCTCGCCATGGTTATTAAAGATTTGTTTGATTTTTTTTTTTTTAATGAAAAACTTTTCTGGCATCAGAAAAATCTTGTTCCTCTATAGTTCAAGTTAATATGGTCTTATTTTACTGTAACTTTTAAAGTAAACAGAGAGGTAGGGTAGCAATACCAATGGGAAAAACACAGTGTCATGACTAGAGTATTACAAACTAAGGAAGAAGCAACCAAACAAAGGAAAATTATATGGGGTTAATTGCTTTTGCAGCAGATTAAAAGGGTGCTTTGGTTTGAGTGAGCCATGTATAAGTCAGTACTGGGAAAACAAGATTGTAAATATATTTTCTAGATGACTGTGGACATTTGCTGTTTGCTGGGAAAGATACGACATGTGTTTCAACTGGCACGTAGCTATGGAGAAGATTTTTTGTAAATTTTTTTAACTTTATTTTATGTACTTTGGTGGGAAGGTGTCAGATCTCCTGGAATTGGAGCTACAGACAGTTGTGAGCTGCCATGTGGGTGCTGGGAATTGAACCCGGGTCCTCTGGAAGAACAACCAATGCTCCAAATTGTGGAACCATCTCCCCAGCACCCTGGTTGTTTGGTTTTTTTTTTTTTTTAACGAAAAGGAAAAATTAGTTTTTGTCTGTTCTGTCCTGAGGTCCATTGTAATTGTGGTGTTCAGTGCCACAGTTGTGCTGAGATGAGTGATGCTATTGCTGTTTTTAAAATTCCTTCCATCGTTAGCTAGAGCTCACTGCTTTGTACTTGTCCTGGTCAGCTCTTAGTGCCCTTGTTTCTCCTCTAAAGTAGCTTTGCATCAACTTTCAGACGTCATCCTTTGCAGGGTCTTGGCGATCTTCCTCTTATAGCTGTTTCTCTCTTAAAGGATAGTCCATAATAGCAGGAGCTATATATTGTTTATCTTTGTAGTCTCAGTTGTTAGAGTGATTCAGTGGTTACTGAGAGTAGAAAAGGCTTGGGTTGGGTTAGGACTTGCCCAAGGTCATATGACCTGTAACAGATCAGGTTATAGTCCAGGTCTTTTGACTGTGGTTCTTTAATATTATGTTCAAAACTTTGATTAGTTTACGTAAGAAAAAGACTGGCCATCACCAATGTTTAGATGTCATGACCCTCTTACTTTTATACTGTTTAATCCCACCAGTTTGTTCCCTACTTCCTGAATGGCTCCCACCTTATCCTTAGTTTTTGATTTTCTAATCTAAGATACTTCCTGCTTTGGGGACCATTTTACAAATTCAGCTCTTTACCTGTCCTATTTCATCTCCCCTCTCCCAGTTTGGTTGATTCCTTCAAAACCTGGCTTACTCTAAACTCTCCTTCCCCAAACTACAGTAGATTCCTGCTCTGTCTTTCCCTTATTCTGAATTCTATTGTCAGAATAGGAACTTACTATTTCTTTACTGATTTCCTAATATTTTATCATCCTACTAAAAGTTGTCTGGGCAAGGCATTTTCATTGGTTATGACTTAGCCTACTTCCTCTTACACTATATAGCAGTGAGTAATCAAATCAGTAGGTATTTGCAGAATGAATGAATGAATGAATGAATGAATGAATGAATGAATTCAAGCATAGTGCCTCCAGTGCCATGCTAGGGACAGAAATAAAGAAATGGATGAAGCATTTGCTTCCTTACTCATAGCCAGTTGAAAAATAGAGGAATTTTCAAATGAATTTAGAACAGGTATAAAGGAGTTAATGCCAGAAGCTTAATGCAAATTATAGAAAGGTCCTTTTTCTTGGAGATCTCTAAAATCTAGAGAAGTAGTTTCCTTGTGGAAATTTAAAGGACTTAATTTCTTTTATAGTAAAATTTCTGTGCAGCTCAGCATTTTAGAAAACTTGCCACTGCCTTGCTTTTTAAAAACAAGATTCATTAGAACAAAATATAAACATGGACGAAACTTTTAGTGGATGCTATTCTTCCCTTAGATATATCCGATTTTTACTTCAGAACAGTTATTTCTCTTGCCTATGACCAAGGACACCAACACTAGAAGTCAGCTTACACATTCCACTCAGAATACAGTCACATGGCTGGAGTCACCGAAGGACTGGAACCAAGGCTTCTCTAGACCTGTCACCGTGCTACTTTGGTTTGCTTAGTTTGTTGTCATAACCAGGATTTAATGCAGCCTTCTTGAGGGAAGGGGATTTGGGGAAACTTAACTCTCTAATTTCAGAGGAACTTTTTTTGCCCTTCTTAAAAGTTATATTTGGGGGCTTTAAGATAATATTTCACCTGCTTTGAGTATGACACAAGATTAAAAGCATTTTTAAAATTTTGCAGACAAAATTTTAAGGCTATAGTAGGCTAGATTTTTGTGTGAAAAACAATGTAATTTCTCACAGTACCACACTATTACAATAAAATACATTTCAGCAGCTCAGAATTATGTATGT